CCCGGCGGTGGTGCGGTGGTGCGGTGGTGAAGTGTAGACAGAGGCAGAGAGAATGATGATGTGCTCAGCAGTAGCCTATTTTCCTGAATAGTGGGAGACACAAAAGGAGATCAACTCTGTAGGGCATCAAGGCAGTGAAGTGGGGGGTGGGGGGGGGATGAGTGGCTGTGGTTGGTTATATGAACGTGAAACCTGTGCAGTTTCAAACCCCCCACCTCTGGCCTGATTTAGTCATTAAAAAAGTCTCTTTTTTTGTCTTCCTCGGTCCAGAAAGTTCTTCCTGTTTGTGTTTACTGCAGTCAGTCCTTTAACTGAAACCAGGATCAAAATGTAAAATATTCATGACTCCTCCCTGACTTTGGCGTGCCACACTGTTGGACTGATGTTTGGAGGTGGCTCCCAGTGGAGCGTCCCCACTGCTGGAGGAGCAGGTATTGTGTTCAGAACTCATTGTGTGTGAGCAGCTGCCGGCGTCTGTTTCTCTGCAGGTAAAGCCATTTAATCCCCAACATCACATGTTCTGATCTCAACATGTGGCGCTGCCTTCAACACGACGGCCCTCGTGAGATCACTGTGATGGCGGCTCAGTCAGAGTGTTGATGTTCACTAAACCGTTAGCCTCTCCTCACCAACGATTTCTGTGTTTAGTTTTACTTCAGGGACAATTGTAAATGTTTACACACAACAATATTCAAAGGTCCATTTGTTACAGTCGGTCAGAGCTCAGGCCGTGATCCTGTCGTATTTATGATACTACAGTTTATTTGATTTTATGACACAAGGCCCTCAGTTTATGACGTCCTCGACCGGGTTTCATGGTTATGTCGTCGTCTCTTGTAAATTTATTGAGAAAGTCTTGTTCCATCATTCAGATTTACGCTGGTAAAACAAATTCCGTGTGGGAACCAGTTGGCGCCACAGAGTGGACAAACATGTCGTCACGTGGCGTCAGAAGACGACTTTGTTTAAATTTGCTGGTTGTTCTTCTGTTTGTGTTGGGTTTTTTGGAACTTTTTGTCCTTCATTATGGCTCTCTAAGTATGTCAGGTTTTTCTGTCCCAGGTTGTGATGCCCAGTGTTGTTGGCCCGTGTTTGTCGTCCATTGAAGGTGACAAACTGCTTGTTTGATGAAAGAAAGAAAAAAGCAGAGGTTTTCAGTAATGAGGTTCTGCTCAGAGCGTGGCGTGGAACCACGTGCACTTGTCAACCCTCAGGCGTGGCCCCGGGCCGTCAGCTGCTGAGCCAGCGCCGACTTTAAAGTCAATTAGAGCTGCTACTATTCCTGTACTGGGTCGGATCACATGGTCGTGTCCTGTGAAAAATCACTGCTTACATTTAATTACATTTGATTCTCAGCAGGACAAAAGTGAACCCCTAATTTACCCCCCCCCCCCTTTAATGGGAGAGGGATGTCCTGCACCCCCAGTGGAGACATTTGTTCTGACAACCACAGGTCACATGAGGCTGCAGACGATGAAAATGAGTGTTTTCATGTTCTTGTTCCCAGCAATTACCAGAGCAACGCTGTGAGTGATGTATGATAACCAGTCATCTGACCCCTGCTGGTCCCCTGTATATTGACTGCTGATAGCACAGTCTCGTGCAGTGGATAATAACCCCCAAAGCCTCTTATGAACGGCCACATTAGTGATGTTAAGCAGCGTTTGGCTAATTCTTTTTAAAATGTTTTTGAATCGGTGTATTTGGAGTTTAGACGAGTTAATTTACCCTGAAATGAGTTCTTGACATGTTTGAACACGACGAGAGGCCGTGGCTGCTGCTCTAAATCAGATAAACGTTAGGATCATTTCTCTGTGGTGTGTTGTGGTGAACGAAGCTGAGAAGTTGAGGGCACACTTTTACCTTCTTGGTTTTATCCAGTTTTATTAAAGGTCCAAAGTCAGGAGTCCGTGACGAGCTCAGAGAAGGAGCCAATCAGAGACGTTGGTGGTCGTGTTTGTCTGACTCCACATCTTTGGTTTCAGTCTTTGAGGAAGCTGAGGTCTGTTGCTGTGAGACATCAGTTCTACACTCGACCACCTAGGCCTTGTTCTGGGTCTGAATGCCGTAGTTTTGGCCACATTTCATTCTTCATTTTAATACCATTAACAACAGAATCACAGACTCCATGTTCACAGACACTGATTGATAGTTTTATAATCATTAGGGCCATTAAGTCATCAGTGCACTGTCACTGGGCTCTGATTACATCATCACTACAGGAGTCCTTTAGCTCCGCCCTCTGCTCTGCTGACTGAAAAACAAGAGACAGAAACAACAGTCAGAGAATCAAACGAGCGCCAGTATTTGTGGAGATAGAGAAAAATGTTCATCTGAGATTGGAATTTGAATTAAACCCATGGAGTGTGTGTGTTTCTGCTGCCAACTGCAGCTCTCACACTGAAACCCTCAGTTATTCAGCATAATCTGATCTGTCACCCTGCAGCATGTCTATTATGGCTTTAAAGGGGTTTTATCTGCTCCACAGTCTCTGATTAGACTCATCCACTTTCAATATTTTTTTTCTCTTCAAATTTCAAGATTTAAATAATCCTTTCAAAGTAGATCTGAAAAATATCAGGGGCTCTAAACATCCCAGAAATAATCTTCAGCAGAGGCTAATATTTGGATTTAGGAGTTAAATCCACTTTTAATCAGTCTGAAGAACCAGAACCAGTGTTTTTTCACAGAGAAGATTTTTAGTTCAAAAAACACGTTTTTTCCTTTAAACCATTCTTTAAATGGGTCACGCGGTGGAGGAGTGTTAAATGCTCTTGCCTTACAGCGAGCAGATCACCAGCTGTGTGAAGTGATGGTCTTTCTACATGGAGTTGACATCTTCTCCCAGTGGCTTTGTGGCTCCAGGAACATGGATTGGGTCAGCAGTTCACTCTACAGTGGCCGTGGGTGTGAATGTGGGTGTGAATCTGGGTGTGAATGTGGGTGTGAATGTGGGTGTGAATGTGTGCTCCTGTGCCGTGGACCGGTGCCTGGTCCAGGGTGGAGTCTGATTCTGTCCTGTAGCTCCAGGTAAACATCTGCGCTGACGTAGCGTTGGAGCTCAGTTCTCGTGTCAACCTTTAAATGTAGATTTTGTTTTGGGTAGTCATTAGTGTGCTCACCTCACATCGACCAGCAGGGGCGTTATTCCCTCATTTTGTTTCCAGGTCTGTTGTCTGTTGTCTGTGCTGCCAACAGGCTCAGGAATCCCAGCTAATAAATCACTGTGAAAGCTGCGTCAATTAAAACATTTTTGGCACCGTGACAATCACAACAAGCTGGAAACACAACACTGACAAATGATCACCTTGTAAAGTTGTTCACACAAACAATCAGCAAACGGTTGATGTGTTTGAACAACAACTGCTCCTGTTTGGACGCAGCTGCTCAGCTCTGACTGTTAGCTACTCCGACTGTTAGCTACTCCGACTGTTAGCTACTCCGACTGTTAGCTACTCCGACTGTTAGCCACTCTGACTTTTAGCCACTCCGACTGTTAGCCACTCTGACTGTTAGCTACTCCGACTGTTAGCTACTCCGACTGTTAGCCACTCTGACTGTTAGCCACTCTGACTGTTAGCTACTCCGACTGTTAGCTACTCCGACTGTTAGCTACTCCGACTGTTAGCCACTCTGACTTTTAGCCACTCCGACTGTTAGCCACTCTCACTGTTAGCCACTCTGACTGTTAGCCACTCTGACTGTATTTCTACCAAACCTAAATTTACGATCTGGTCAGAAAGTGTGAAAGAACGAACATTAAATACCAGCAACATTTATGATTTAGAATCAGATTAAGAAAAAGAATACAATTACCACAAACTGTAGCTAATCACTGCCTGCTAACGTAATAATATATCTATTAGAAATCAATGCTAATTTAACAAAATCCTCCTTGTCTGCTGTCTCACACACACACACACACACACACACACACACACACCCACCATCACTGCCTTGTTGAGAGCTAGAATATTCTAATTCTCTTGATAAGCCGGCAGCTACATAATGAAAAAGCGAGTCTGGCGCCGCGTGCTCGCCACTAAATCTGCCAATGTTGTCAAGTCAGCAGTCAGCACATTATATAGTGTGATTATCGCCCTCTGGAGGAACACCAATGTGATTGAAGTCACTCTTTGAACTTGTTTGTTCTGAACTTTTGTTCGTCCACTGGTAACCATGGTAATCCATGCAGTAAATCACGTCCTAATTGGCCTGTGACTGGATGTCAATAATTTAATTTTGACTTTTAGGTAATTGTTTAAAATCGTTGTCATTTAGAATTGAGTTACATTATTTTAAACTTTTCATTATAATAGAATGTATATTTTATTTATAATATATAGGTATATACTTTATCAAACCTGTACTGCTGTAGTGGTCTTTAATTGGCCTGTGACTGGATGTCAATAATTTAATTTTGCCTTTTAGGTAATTGTTTAAAATTGTCATTTAGAATTGAGTTACATTATTTTAAACTTTTCATTATAATAGAATGTATATTTTATTTATAATATATAGGTATATACTTTATCAAACCTGTACTGCTGTAGTGGTCTTTCCAGTGACGTCCAGTGACGTCCAGTGACGTCCAGTGATGTCCAGTGATGTCCAGTGATGTCCAGTGATGTGACCAGATCACAGCCCTTCACTCTGTTAATGAAGTCAAATCAAAGCCACTGATGAAGTTCTGTGAACTGTGAGGTGGAAACGTTGTTGTTGTCTTAATATTCCGTCTTTGTTTTCCTCGGTGCTGACTCAGTATAACTGTATATGTTAAACAGTGAAACACATGTTTTCTAGACAATAACATCAAAGACCATCTCACACTGGACTTTTTTTTTGTAATTGTTCAGCAGCTAAAAACAACATCTTTGAAGTTCCATTTGTCTGGAGATGTCGACGGCTGCTGCACATTCTTTTATTATTAGAACTCTTACAGCAGTCAACATGACGGGGGGGGGGGGGGGTTGAAGAAGGTTCTTCAGTGTTCTAAAGATAAAACCAGCAAACAACAGGAAATGTGTCAGAAAGCTGAACTATTTCAGAGTTTGGCTGGACTTCCTAGAAATAACTGAAACTGTTATGGTGGACCAGTGGTTGGTGACCAGTGGTTGGTGACCAGTGGTTGGGACCAGTGGTTGGTTGGTGACCAGTGGTTGGTGACCAGTGGTTGGTGACCAGTGGTTGGTGACCAGTGGTTAAGGCTCTGCTCCATAGTTATGGTGGGTCTGGGTCAGTTCATGATGACTGAGGTCTGACCACAGGTTTATGCCTAGACATCTGTGAAGACGAACCTTCTGTGAGTGAAGTTTCCATCTGACAGTTTGCGGCCTGTCCTTCAGAGCAGGGGTCACAGTGCACATGCCCCTCACCCCCCCACCCTTTTTTCTTTTTTCACCCACAGACGTTGACTGTAGAGAAAAAACCAGATCAAATCAAACTCAGCTCAGTTGATGTTTGTCGACCACGCCGCAGTGATGTCATCAATGTTGTAGTTGTTGATATTAGACCTAGGTACATCTGTTAAATGACAGCGTCTTTCTGACCGTACCATGTGTGAGGAGCACGTCCTGGTCATGAAGCCAAAGACTTTTCCAGTCTTAAAATTCTCTCTGGACTTTTTTAAATATTTAAACTGCATTAAAATACTAAAGGAACCAGATTGTGTAGAAAATGAGTTGTGAACTGACACCCTGATTTCTTTCATGAATACGTAACAAGATCATAATTAAGATCTAAGTAAAAATGGTTTGGAAAGTTAAAATCCATCCAGTTTTTCTTCAGCATCAGCAGACTTTGACATGAAGATTTCTTTTTCTTTCTCTTTTCATTTATATGCTGTTTGTATTCAGACTGATGATTAGCTGCTGCTCCAGGATAAATGCTAACGCTAATTACTTCACAGTCGTAGAAATACATTTGAAATTTGACAGAATCAATGATCAGATTATCTGAGAGATAATACATTTGAAATTTGACAGAATCAATGTAAACTCCTTGTAGAGGAGTCGGGCTGGGCTGTTAGCTTCTCTGTGTCTGTTTTGAACAGATCTTTGATTAAACACATGGTAACAATGTTGCATTAAGTTATTCTGGGACATCCAAACCCATGTCCTGTTAATGGAGGGGCTAATTGGTGTCGTGTCCAGACTCTGCCCCGAGCTGCTTCACTGGTGACGGGGAAGAAACCAAACACACACCGCTTTATTTATGAGCCTTTACTGTTGAACATGAAAAGAAATGTCCTCAGGTTCAGTCCAGTGTTTTCACTACGTCCACCAGTGTGGTGTGAATCTGCCACTCGTGAAGGTTAGTCTGCTCACGAGGATGATTTATGTCTGAGTTTTAACTAATTACCATCAAATGTTGTGTTTTGTTCCCAGAACTGTTTCACTGCCTACAGCCACATTTATGTAAAACATTTATTTGTGACTAAAAATCTTTTCCTGTAGTGAAGTGGCCGTGAGTGAAACTCTCCCCCTCTACTGGGTAACACCCTGTCAGTTAGTGGCAGCAGTTAGCACGCTAACGCTTGTAGAATATAAAGTGATGTTGTTTATGAATAACAGCAGAGGTTGATGTTCGTCTCATCACGTGTCACGTGACCCTTGTCAGTTGAATTATTAGTTCACGTGAACAAATACGTATTTTTCATGTTCTTTTCTATTTTATCGTCTGTTTTTCTCTGCTGCCTGTGAACAGATGGAACCAGTGACGGTACCAACATTCACATGTGACAAATTTAGCTCTCAGTATTTGATACTAAAGTCACAGCTTCTCATTGATAAGTCCCACAAAAAAAATCATATTTATTACATAAAGAAATGACTCTGACTCTCATTCTAACTAACCTCTCTGTCCTGGACTGGTAACTGGTCAAACTAAACTAACCTCTTTTTTTAATTACTGTATCATCCAGCAAAAACCAGCCCGTACCTTAGAGATGCTAGCTCTCCAAAAGTTATGGTCTGGCCCACTGGTCGAAGCTGACGTTAATTTCCTGAGACAGGAGTGAAGCTATGTGGCTTAGCAACATATGCTAAATGCTGCTGGAGCTAGAGGCTAGTCACAGAGGGAGGGGGGGTGAGGGTGAGGGTGAGGGTGGGGGGTCTAACTGGCCTGATTACACTGTGTGTGAGGTGACATGGATCAGACATCTCACACACACACACACACTCTGAATGATGGATCAGTGAGTTTAGAGATTCAGAGAGTACATCTTTAGCACGCCTGCCTTGAAAGCATGTAATTATTATTATTATTATTATTATAGTTTTCTGTGAGTGTGAAGAGAGAGGATCGCTGAATGAAGTGGATGAAGACGTGAACAGAAACCCAGTTCAGTTCTCAGTGTTTTTCCTCCTGAGGTGTTTTTTCAGCTCTGCTGGACTGTGGTGTAAAAATTGGCCGAGATTCAACCCAACACTCGCACCATCGTTTCATTAGCTCCCGTTCAGCCCAGGGCATTTCACAGCACATTTCTTTCACTCATCTGCGTCTCTCAGATTACAGCACAAGGTAACACAGACCGGACCTGACTGAGCGTCAGAGACGTTTCTCTGTTGGACTGCGTCTCAGCCAGAGTGGTGGAGGTTTCATTTGTCTTCATCTCAGTCAGATGATTGATGCCGACACTCTTTGCCTTCAGCCAACTTTAATGTTTCCCCTCAACCCCCGTGAAGGGGGTGAAATCAGATCACATTTATTTCAGGGTTTTATTTTTTATCCATTAGTGGTTTGCATTTTGCAGCGAACGCCGCCTACGGCCACGGATTACGCTGAAATAAAGACGTGCGAGTGAAGAAGAGAGTTTCATATGAGGCTAAATTAAAGTTTTAGCAGAAATAAAGTTAAACTCTGACTCTCAGTACTTTCTGCACTTCTGTAAAGATCAGAACATTTTTCATTGAAGACGTTTTTTCGCTCTATGGCCATTTTTTTTTTACATGTGAGACGTTTATTAAAATACTGAAGTCTGATGATTGATGATCCTGGTGGACAGTCGTGGAACTGAAGGAGACGTCTGAGATCAGACGTTGGCTCACAGTCCGATGAGAACTCCACTTCCTGTTTATAAACTATGAACAAACCTGAAGGTGCAGAGGATTCAGAGAATGTTCCGGACTTCTTGTTATTTCCTGTTCAAAATTCAAATGTCAGCGTCTCTCTGTGTTCAGGGGATGATGGGAGGACTGGGCTGGACGTTCCTTCTACTCTTACATACCATGCTGCCTGTGGCGTCCCAGAAGCCTCCGGGGCTCAACGTGGGCGTCATCATGGGCCAAACACGCTTTGTTTCCGATCAGGAGCTGAGGCCACCCCGACGCCCCGACGACGCCCTGGACATCTCTGTGGTGGCGCTGAGGATTAACCAGACTGACCCCAAGTCTGTGATCACACAGGTGAGACACACACACACACACGCACACACACGGCCTTCGTTTGACCCTGATGGTGTTTTTGTTCCAAGGTGTGTGAGCTCCTGTCGCGCACTCGTCTCCACGGCATCGTGTTCGCCGACGGCACTGACCAGGAGGCCATTTCCCAAATCCTGGACTTCCTGTCTGTTCAGACACAGCTTCCAATTATTGGAGTCCACGGAGGCTCCTCTATGATAATGGCTGACAAGGTGAGTGACCGTGACCCGTCTACACACGCGCACACACAACATGCCGCCGCCTCTTGTTTACGCCACTGAGAGGCGCTCATCATGAAATATAGCTATTCAGCAGCACATCAATCAGAGCGAGTGAGGCAGAAAATAAGCCAGTGTCAGAGGATACTGCAGATTATAAGTACAGCCGTGTATATTTTGGAGTGCAACTACATAGACCGAGTGAGTGAGTGAGTGCCCTCCGGTGGACGAAGCGTTATCTCTGACAAATGCATCGCTGGTCTAACGGCTGCGTGAAGGTTCACTGTAGACGGTGACACGGCGGCGTGTCGGAGCTCGTCCCCGCTGTTGGACGGCTGCCAGAGCTGTAGGTTGGAGGCAGAGTTGAAATGATCCCTTGGCTCAGAGGCAGAGTCAACCTCAGCTGTTTTATCTGCTGAGTCTTTTTAACAGACAAAGTCCATATTTATAGATGGATCTGTCCAATAATTAAAGAGGTCTGGCTTCTCTGGAGGGAAACATTTCCAAGAATAAATCCAACTCTTTACTGCTTTGTTGTTCAAAGGCGTACAGTAGGTGCTGTGGTCCAGTCCTGTCAGAAAATAGAAGCGGAGAACAGAACAGAACAGAACATCACTGTGGACTGATGTGACGTGTGCTGATTAGTGTGTGGTTACAGATGTTTGTCTTCGTTTCTTGCTTTGATAAGAACACAGTTATTTATTCTTTGTCTCTTGGGACGAGGACGGCGCTGCAGCTGCTGTGGTGTCTGAGGTTTTATCATCAGTAGTTTTGGACATGATTATTAGACGTGACGATGGTTGGATGAACGTTCTCTTCAGACGTACACGGAGAACGTCGTCTGAACTCAGCTCTACGTCTGCGACAGATTTATTTTCTATTGTGCCTCGACTTGTCATTAAAAGTAATAAAAAGAACGTACCCACCCCTGTGCCCCCCCACCCCTGTGCCCCCCCACTCCAACCTTATTTTAATCCACATAATCTCGTTGTACAAAGTCACGCTGCAAACACTCAGAACTTTTTACATTTGAATATGCAGCAGATGAAAGTGAATAATTTATCAGCGTCTTGTCTTTACACTGAAGCCAGAGCTGGAACCGGTCTAGAACCGGTTTGTACTGCAGAGCTGGGCCTTGAACACAGCAGTTTGTTGGCCAGCTGTTCTGAATGAATAAATAAACCAGTGTGGTCTTTCCTGGTGGTGGTTGGGTTTATTTGATCACATTGTTTTTCTCTGTGGTTGAGATGTGAACATATGCAGATGCTGCTAAAATGTCACCTCCATTTTGGAGGAAACTACATCTCAGAAGGAAAAGAAATCCGTACCATAAAGAATAATCTGGTTAATGATGTCATGTCTTTCCTTGAAGGTTTAAGTTCCATTAAAACCCACCTCAGTCCAACAGCTTTTTATTTCAGGGCACACATTTGAAACCTTAAAATATTTATTGGAACAAACCCAGATCAATCACAGCTTTAAGTCATTCTGTGCCCCCCCCCCAGCAGGAGGAGGACGGGGGCTGTTTGTTTGTTTGTTAAATCAATGTTAATGTCATGTGCAGCTGAGGTTATGACTGATCCACAGAGTGAAGCCACTCACTGAAACATTTTTTCTCATTTCCTCTTTGTTCTTTTATTTGCTTTGTTGTTGATCAAACGTCGAGAACATCAGGAGCTGCAATTTAATATATTTACATCTTTATTTGGTTTGAGATAAGAAGTGATGTTTGAAGTATGTGGATCTCACCTACAGTTGTCTTTACAGTGAGAGTACAGTCGGTACAGTCGGTGTGATGGTAGCTAAATCTCTTTACTAAAAATACCGTGGTCAACAAAACTAAGGACATTGATTTAGTTTGGTGAAACCTCAGTGTTTGTTCAGTTGGTGCATCATTCAGTCGGGGGCGGGGCAGTAAACAGGACTCGAACAGTAATGATCACTAACCAGTAATGATCACTAACCATCACTAACCAGTAATGATCACGTAACGATCACTAACCAGTAATGATCACTAACCTGATCGAGTGAACTAGCAGTAACGATCACTAACCAGTGGTTTTCCTCTGGTGAACCAATGGTCTGTCAGTAGACCCTCCCAGCACCAATCAGGATCCGTGATCACAGACAGTGGCCACAGTATCACAGCAGCCTGTGATTCCTCCTGTTAAAGCCCAGATAATCTCTGATGCTAATGACAACAGAAACCTGGCCTGGTTCTCCTGCTGGCTGTGACTGTGTCTGTTCTACCTGCTGTCAGTGGTGTACAGGCAGTCTGCAGGATCGAAGACCAAATCCCAGTGGACTGGTAACAATTCAGCCTGATTACTGTGGGTTAACAAACAATATTGTTCTCTGTTCTCAGCCAGAGCGGGTGTAAAACCACTTTGTTTTTTTTTTTCATCTCGCTCACGATCGCACTGTTAATGTCACCGTGGAGTCCAGAGCAGAGGAAACGGAGAGTGAAGAAAAACTAGAGCAGACAGTCACCAGGAGAGCAGGCAACGCTCCACTAAAATAATCTATAAATATATATATATCTACTGTATATGTGAAGAGTACAGTAGGAGGAGGCGTGAGGTGGTTGTGAAATGTATGGTGTGAACACAGCATTCAGCTGCCAGGATGAAAACTTAACCCTCAAAGTTGTTGTCATTCATCACAGCCGGTCCTGCCGTTACACCTCATCACCTGCAGGGGCAGCGCTGCTGTGGCAGAGCCATGCAGATTCTGATTGGTCAGATCTTACAGAGACCAAGTGAGTTAATAATGAAAGTTCGTGGCTCATCTGAAAACACTCCGGTGTGTGGACTGTGTGGTCGTGGAGGAACATGGCCGCTCTCTGGTCCTGCTGTTACACCTCATCACCTGCAGGGGCAGCGCCGCTCTCTGGTCCTGCTGTCTGTGCGTACACTGTCCACAGGGTCTACATCTACATGAAGTAACTGTAGTGTTGGTAGTAGTTACTGTCTGTCAAACGGCGTTCCCAGATGCTCAGCTCACCTTAAACGGTTCAGACTAAATCCACGTCATATGTTTAGTATCTGATGATCGTACGACCGCGCCCTGCAGCTCGCCGTTCGTCAGCCGTGAGAAATCTTTCTNNNTTCCCCGAAAAGAAAAAAAAATTGTAACCCCTTCCCCCCCCCCCCCCCGACCTCCTCCATCCTTGCCTGTCATGTAAATGCATGTCAGTGCGGGAGAGTCAGGACTAATCCAGGGGAAGTTGTGTGCTGTGAGAACGGAGAGACGTTTAGGGAACACGGAATTGATGGGAAAAAAGGGCATTTGTGAGCCCTGGAGGGAAACCAAATTAGTTTGGAACGTTGTACTTCCATTACAGAGGGAGCGCTTTGGGGAAAAAAAAGAAATGTAGTTGCCTCTACCTCACCCTGTTCATCTGCTCTTCCTTCCTCGGTGTGTTGGGGGTAGATGGTGGGGGTGGGGTCGGGGTGTGTGGCCTAGGAACACGAACATGCTGAAATGGAAGGCTGTAAATTAAACATGCGTGTTCCCTCTGCCACGGTGCTGCGCGTGTGTGTGTCTGTGTGTGTGTGTGTGTCCCACCTCTGATCGTCCCGTATCAGTGCAGCCCATTTGTCCCGTTCCTCTGCTGAGGCTCTTTAATATTTAACAGCTGCCCCCCTCACCTGCTGTCACTCAGTGAATCTTCATCTTCTTGAACCTGTTTCATCCCGACCGCCTCGAGGCTCCGACAGTTTGACTTCCTTCGTTTTTGGGAAGTTGATAAAATCTCCTTGTAAGGATAAAGTTTTTTCTTTGCACACAAAACTATGAGTGAGATGAGAGAGTGAGAGAGGGGAGGGGGTGGGGGGGGGGGGGGGCACCGTGCGGGATGCCCGGTCTCCCCCCAGGCCCCCCCCAGTCCCCCCCCCCAGATCAAACTCTGTGATATCGTCCTCTCACACACAGCGTCAGGTCCAGGTCCACCTCCACACAGGCGCGGTGGATTTGATGTGTGAAAGCGGCGTCGCACCAGTGTTTACAGGTTCACGTCGTGGTTCAGACAGAAAACTGACAAAGTGAGTAATATTTGAAGGTCTACTTCACCGCTGCGAACAAACACCAGGCTGAGAATCCCAGTCAACATCTGCTGTGCAGCTGAACACAGTCTGGTTCCTCATCTTCCACACTGAGCTCCAATCTTTAATCTTAATCTTATCTACTTAATCCAATGTTTTCTGTTTCTCTGGTGCAGCCGCACAGGAAGCTGTTTGAGTTCATGAGTCAGCGCCGCGCTGCCGCACTCAAATGTCACTTCAGGTATCAAATATCACATTTCATCAAATGGTTTAATGACTGTGAAGGGCTCTTACACGGTCAGCGCGAAGGAAGACTGACGGCTGCGCAGATATTTTTAACAAAAAGGCCGCGGCTCTCCGCAGTCGTATTCTGTTTGCATTAAATGGACGGATCAATATTAGTGACACATCCGTCCATTAAGGCTCTGAACAAATGACAATGTTGTCATGAGGCACCGCTCAACTGACAACGGAGGGAAAACCTCTCGTCTTTGTTGCATCACTACCACGGCATTTAGTAAAGACTGAAAAGGTAAAAACGTAAATACTGAGGTGGAACACTTTAAAGTCACTGATCTGAAAGGTCACGTCCACGCTCCTTCTGGTGCTGGTACCGAGCCCAGGTGCATCAGGGAAGGTCGGGCAGAAACCACGGACGAAGTGTGTGTGTGTGTGTGTGTGAACGAGGCAGTGGAAGTGGGTGAGGAGTGTGTGACAGAGGGACAGGACAGCAGTACTTGGTGGTTCTTGGTCCACAGTCTGGACAAGTCCATCAGTATGAACTAGGATTAACAGGATTAGGATTGAACCAATCAGACGAAGGGCACAGACCGGACATTGTTGAGATAAATGTTAGAGGTTGAGATGGGTGTGTCATGTCCTGAGTGGACAGTGGGACAGTGGACACGATGCAGGAGAACCAGATGATGAGTCCACAGACGACTTAATTAG